ACAATGCAGAGGGTCCAGAGATGGGGGCCGGGGGAAACAATGAGACGGAAACCAGTGTGAACAGAGTGAAGCCGTGCTGCTGTGCAGCACGTAGTTTTCATCAGGACAGGAGGCCTTGCAGAAACGCGGTGCAGCTGAGGAAGGGTTCAGCCTGGGAGAAGGGCTTTTGTGCACGAAAGCAGATGGTGATTTTCCCCATGTCTGGGACTGTGCTCTTGCCTCCCGGCATGAAGGGCGGGGTAGAAATCCCAAACTGGAGGAGAGGAGAGCTTGAATTCGTTGAAGCGATAGTAGTCTGAGCATAGGTAGGGCAAGCATTTATTCAAAACCAGCCATCAGAGATGTTTGCCTCCCCTTTCCCACAGACGTTCCTGTCACTTCCACTCCGGTCACCGCGTCCTACCATGGCTGCATGACCATCAAGCTGAGCAAGAAAGCACTGGACTTAGATGAGGCTCTCTACAAGCACAGTGACATCACCTCACATTCCTGTCCTCCAGTTGAGACGGGTCAGTAGGTACCACTGCAATGCGAAAGTTTTATACTCAGAAACTTTCAATGCTTTTCTTTTTTTCTTTTTTTTTTTTAAAGATATAAATTATTCAGTCCTACCGCACTGCGTGTATAGTTTCTCTTAAACACTGAAGTTATGTAGGAGCTACTGATCCTTATGTCAGATTGATTATTGAAATACTCCTTTGCTTTGAGGTTTAAAGGTTGTAATATATTTGTAAATAGTTCAGAAGATTAATATTAAACAAGCCAGAAGTACAGAATATACCAAAAGTGAATATTATCTTTAGACTGTAAGAGACAGTTTTATCTGTAATGTGGAAAACCTGGTAATATATGAGTGTGGACTGGAAGAAAATGAATAATTCTGTATTATTTTTTATTACCAAACACTGCTTTCTGATTTGCAAAATACGCGAGAATAAAATATTTACATACAAGTTTTTAATTTACCTGTACTGAGATTATTCTGTTATTTGAAGATAATGACTCGGGGGGCTATGTCTGATGCGGAGATTACACTAATGGTTTGGGGTTTTTTGCTTGGTTGGTTTGGTTTTTTTGTTTGGAGGTAAGGGTTTTTATGAGCTTATGCCAGCGTTGTATAGCTTCTGGACTGGACAGCAAAGGATTGCTGCTGTTCTTACTGCTAGAGTTTCTCTTTCTTGTACCACAGACAGAAGACTCAGTCGTGACCTTTAGAAAAGCTCTTGATCAACACAAAACAAAAACCAAAGTTAGTTTTTTCAGTCAGGAGACTCTATAATTTGAAAGCCATATGGCTTTTGTGTCAATAACACAATGATGATGTATCAATAGCAAATGATGAGGTGTCAAGAATTGGGGAACATTATCTGGCAATGACATATTTTTGCTGCTTAATTTTTGGGTTCGGTCATTCACTGTGAGCCTAGTGGGAGCAGAGAGGCTTGAGACTGGGGGGATTTACTCAGGAGAGGTTGCAGAGCCATAAAGTGCATCCAGCTTTTTAGCTGTCCTTGTGAAGCTGGTGTGGGCTTTGCCTAGCCTGCTTCAATCCCTTAAAGCTTGCTTTAATTTGGTCCTTGTCTTGCATCAGATTAATGAACTGAGAAAGACAGGTATATGCTGTGTTGGAAATCCAGATACTGGGTGGCTAAGGTTACCCATGCTTCAGAGGGTCCACAAGGTCTTCTAGAAATTGTTCCTTGTCATTCTATGTCATGTTTTGCCTAATCAGACACAGACATGACAGATTAGTTTAATAATGCACACGTATGACAATATCTGTGATGAAGCTGTGGAGATGTGACTGTGCCAGAGGAAAGGATGGAAGTGGGGGAAGACTATCCCAGACACATTTCCTGGTAAGGATTCCTATTTTATTCAGCAGAGAATAGGAAGGTACTGTATTAGCTATTAGCCAGCAAGACATCATAGCTCCATATCGTGGCCAAATCAGTCAGCAGTAACGTAGTGAAGCAGAATAGGCTAGAGCTGTATCACTTTCAACCAGCCTACTCATTTACACTTACAGGAGGACCTGTCACAAGACTCTTTAGGCTCAGGTGTGATCAGATGGATGTCTGAAAAGATAATTCTCAGTTGCAAGTAATAACTTAGTTGTGGAGTGTGCATGGATAGGAAAATTCAGATGTAGTTCTACGTTTTTGCTTTTTTTATTGAGCAAGGGAAACCTGGGAGTGCTTTCTGTTGGAGCTAATGACTCTGGATCTGCTTGTGATATGGTGGAGAACCCAACAAACATTAGTTTAGTACCTCCAGTGAGAGATGAGAATCCTGAAGGTACTATGGTTAATAGCATTTCCATGCTATTTCCAGCATATTCCATGTGTTTTGTTTTCTGTATTTTTTCACGGTTATTTTAGTACTTTACTAAAATATATCTCCCATCTTTTTACTTAGAGTAGCTCTAGTGAAAACAGCACAAACTTGGAAGACACCTATTTTTTAAACCAAATAGATGAAACAAACCTTAGTTTACTTTGTTCTTTTCAAAGGAAACATGTTAGCAAAATAGTCTTCTGTCTGGCATTTTTGTATCATTTCCCCAGTAGTTCCCAAAAAACTACCATGTGGCACAAATGAATCACAATCATGTCTGACCTTTGTGCTAAAGTAAGTGGTGCTATTTATGAGGCCAGAATTATTTTGGATCCTGGAAACGTGAATCCTGTGGTACAGTATGGCACTCTGCAGTTCCAGACTTAATATAATGTGAATGAGACTATAATTCCATTTGCTAAAGCAATCTAATTCAGAGCAAAAGCTTCTCAAAGACTTTGCATATGTGTGTATGGAAGTGAAGATATTTTGCATAGACCACAGCGCACACTGACCCAAAACATGGTTTAGAAGAGAAAGGCAGAATTTCTAAGTCTGGAGAATGACAGAAGAGGGGGGTTCTTTTGTGCCAAGCTGAATTGTTTTTAATACCCTACAGCAGTACCACACTGGAGAAAGAGGTAGCTGCTTCTACACGCCATTGAAGAAGAAAGAAGCAATGAGCATTCCTTCATTCCCCCTCTGGTCTCTGTGCTTCAACCCAAGAGAAGCACTGGTTTTGGTTTTGTCCTGTTAGAAGTCCAGGTGCTCAACTCAAAGGGAGCGAGTCTGTTCTGGGCTTTGAACCATAGGAAATCATTGAGGCCCCAGAATGAACCCAGGTGGTTCCCCTGGTAGTATTCATAGCAAGTAAAAAGAAGTAAACATGTAGTTCCACTTATTCCATGATCGGTGTGATTGTGTTCTTCACAGCACGCATTTGCACAAGAACTAAGCATTTTGGATGTGCTCAATTAAAAGAAGAATAACAGTGTCCTCTCTGGCTTCTGTTTCTCTCAACTGGCTTCCTATAACTCACCTTGTCAACAACACATACCTCGTCACTGATACGATCACTGGCCTAAAACTTTGCATCTCACAAAAAACCCTTCTTAACGGAACAAAATATGGCTTTTACAGTCTGTGTAAATTAAACTGTCATCTTATGTGTATTAGTATGGAATCTGTTTTTCATACATACACGTGGATTAACAGAAATTTCTTGAAAGGTGGAAAGTATTATGTAAAAGGATGATCATTCTTTGTTCTATATTCAGCTGGTCTGATGGTGTAATTTCCTTTCAAAGGAAACTGTCAAGTAGGCTGGTTTTGTTTATATAGGATTTTTGAGTATTTTCATATATTTTTAAGCAGCTGTTACAAAAGTTAATGAGAAATACCTTCTTTTCCCTGCTTTGCTCTTTGGCCTTTAAGGTAATTTCTTTAGCTTCTTTGCTGTCTAGACTCCTTAAGATCTATAGAGCACACAGCAGCATTCTCCCCCTTCACCCCTGCAGGAGAAAAATGAAGGGATGCAGCAGCCTGATGCGTTTTCATGCTGGTTTAGCCACTTCTGCCCTGAAATACAGCAGCTGTGTGCTAAGAGGAGTCCCAGCTAATGCGATGCACAGGGAGGGGGCTGGGTGCATGCAATGGGGACAAGACTTTGCTACAGATATCGCTGCTTAGCCTTGCTGACATATTTCTGTCTCTACACAATAGGAGAAAATAAATAAATACTAATAACAAAGAAGGAATTCTGACCCTTCACCCATTCTGTTTCAGTCATTGTAAAATACTCAGATTGGGTCTTGATCAGTTTAAAAATAAATAACTGCAGTTTAACATAGAGTGGTTTTGTTTGTGGTTCTCTTCTGACTAGAAAGGAATTAAGTAGTACACTGAAGTGCAGCTTAAAATACCTGTCTGGAAATTGCATCTTTAGCACACTGACATGACATTTTACTGTGTAGACTAGACTGGCACAAAGTTTGAATAAAATAGACTCATTAAAATTAACCTCGCTGTTTGAAACTCTTCCATAGGGTACTTTTTCCTCTGTTCTTTTGTTTTCCTGTCCTTAAAAATATACACACCCATAGGTAGAGTATAAATATACACAGTCAATTTTATTGTAAAATAATTGCCACACTTTTTTTTTTATTGGTACAACACATTCACCAAAAAGGGTTATTAAATAAATACCACAAGCAAGCAAACACTTGATCTCTTCCTACCCAAAATGATTGACTCGGAGAGCTCTTGTATATCCGTCCAGAGAACACTGGCTAAAACCCCTCGATATTGGCTTATGAAAGCAGAACACATATCCAGAGTATTTTCTTCATTTCTTCTCCTGAAAAAAAAATCATTCTGCAGTGTACCAGGGAGGAAACATCTTATGCTTATGGCAGACAGAAAGCAACACTGCATTTGACTGCAGGCAAACTGGGTGGTGACTGGTCACCCCACTGGTGACATGCCTGCCCTTACGCTTCCAGGGTTCTGCTCTGTTCATGGTGAGATGTGGGTAAAAGCAGAGCGGCCGAAACACGCTCTACGGTGGGTTCCTTGAGAATTCTGGTGCCTGCACAGCACAGTTTCCAGAGGCTTCTTAAAACCAAAACAAAAGCCTACCAGCTACTTAAAATAAATTCTTTGCTCTACGGTGCATATGGTGGAGGCTTTTCTCCAGGCAAGAAGTAAGTCGGTGTATAGAGGGCTGGAGCATTGGGGGGAAGACCATAGCTGGAGCTGGACTGAGATGGAGGCTGAGTTTCTTCTGATAAAGAAATGTCAGTAGATGATGTTCCTGGAAAATTGCTGGCAGGCTGTGTGTAGACAAAGAAAAATACCTTCTTCAGTAGAAGATTACAACCCCATTTGCAGCTCTGAGTTATGCGTTTGCCATGTAAGTGCTATATAATAAGGCCCATGATTAAATTTCCCATGCGTTGCAGAACAATGCTAACTTCAGTTTTAAAGCACCCACTTAAGTAGAGCAATGATGATGCCTAGTGAAACAAGACAGATTCCATCTGTAACCCAAGTCATTTTTAATTGGCACTGTGCATACAGCTAGGCAATGGAGCAGAACAGGAATTTCTGCCCTAAAAGATGCTCTGGCTTCCTGGGTGAGGCACTGCACCTGACTGGCTGATTAGATTATGTGTAGCTGCTCATTTCCAGGCATCACTGTGAAATTTAAATTATCTCAGATGTAATTAATCTCAGTTATAATACTTGCATAAATGCAAGGTCTTATTTCGGTGCCAAATGCAGACTCGTCTTAGAAGAAAATTTTACAGGTAGGCATGTGTCTCCCTGGAGGTCTTTCACTTTGGCTGTCTCAGCTATAATGGGGCTTTGGCTGAAAGAGGCACAAAAAATAGATAGGTAGAGCTTAGGAAGCAACCCACGTTCAGGAACAAGCAGAGTCTGTTAAAAGAATGCATGTAGGGATGAATGTTCTGGACAAAATCTTACCACTGCTTTAAACTAGATTTTGTCACTGATTTCAAGAGGGTCAGGATTTCACTCCTCCCCTCATATACCAGTCCATGGGCTTCATCAGAAGAGCTGTGTTCAACTCCCCTAAGGTTCAGGCCTAAAGTGCCTGGAATTTAAAAAACAAAACAAAAAATAATAATAATTTATTTTTTTCAAGGGAAATTAAATATCCGGGCAAGTAAATGCTGCTCTCTGCTGCTAAAAAAATTAATAGTCACCATCTAGAAGGCCAGTACCTGGGCTGGCACTCAGACAATGACGTCTCAGAGCTGCTCAGGGCTGGCAGACCCAGACCATGGTGCCTGGTTTCTCTGTGGAGCTCCACGTGAGCAGGAGCTGCTGCCCTGTGTCAAACCCCCATGGCGAGGAGAATGTTGTCCTTCATTTGTACCACAGGCTGACTTAGTGAGTGTGAATGGGGACATCCTGACTTGAAGGTTGATTATGCTTTTTAACTCTCTAGGAGGCAGTGCAGGTATACTGACAGACCTGCTAGCTCCAAACTTAGTTGTGGATTTGGGTGGTTTGGTTTTTTACTTTATTTTAGAGTTGTTACTTCCCTCTCTCCTCAAACTACAGCCGCTGTTTCCATCTGTTTGCCTAGAATTGGTTCTGCAATGAGTTCTCTCCTGGCAGGAGTGACTGGCACAACCTTTACTGCTGTCATCACCACCAGTCCCTGCACAGCTAATCATTTACCTGACCGTCTGGCAGGCTTGTTACCAAGACTAGCTGTGACTGAATTGTACTAGCAGGGAATGAATGATTTTGTTAGCATATGCACAGTAAACAGAAGAAATACTGGTTGCATGCTTGTCGAAATGCCCTCCTTTTATCACTTTTTCCTTTTTGCATTTGGCTGATTTCTGCTTGTGGACAAGGAAGAGTGAGGTGAACTGAGGAGTGTTTACCACCAGCGGAGGTTGTCGTTTTTTTAAAGACGTTGCTTGCCCCTCCAGCAAGCAGTTATTCAGTGAGGTACTGGAATTCAGCAGAGGTCTAGGAATGAACCTTCTCAATCACAGGAGCCACAGGTGAGTTCAGGTTCATAGCCTTTGAGCTAACAGAGTTCCAGCCCATGCAAGTGTGGGCAGCCCTTAGGCTAGGCATGTTGCACGTCAGACCAACCCAAGATGGGATATGTTCTGAGGAGGAGGAACTGCAGCTGCGAATTTCCTCTGGTTGAGGTGAGGGTTCAGACTAGAGTTATTAGTTGGTCATTGATTGCTGACTGCTTTACTTCATTATCTGGCATCAATTCAATTTTTCCCTAACTCTTAGCTGAAGAAGATTTTACTTCTTTTGCTGTACTGAACCACCACATGTGACCCTACCCCAGCTGAAGGCGGGTGCAGGGCAAAGTGAGTTGCAGGGGCTTAGGAAGAGTGTTTAGCCAAACCTTTGGTTAGTCAAAGCAAACGCTAAGAAGTAAGGTGTGTCTTGGGGCCTTTATGTGGATCTTGATCTATGTGCAAGCAAAAAAGCTCACACGTGCAGGAAGGTGGCTTGGTTTTGGTTCAGTTTGATTTGGTTTGGTTTGGTTTCCCCCAGGAAAAGGCTTAAGCACTTTCACTTTTGGTGTCCTTTACTTCTTGTTAACCTCTTCTGGCTTTGGGACAACTGGTGGTGTCTGTCTCTGAATATTATGAACCAGAGAGTAGAAATCTAGAACTGTATTTATCTTGAAATTCAGTTGAAAAATTTGGGTAAATATGATGCATTTTCGTTCTCAGAAGACACAGGACTGAAGAGTTACAACTGATCCTCATGGCTACTTACACACATCTTTTCAGCTTAACTGCTTTATTCCATCTGTTTTAATCCCCCTGTCTCTCTACTCCTGGCTATGTGCTAACCGAACTCTGCAGAAGAGCGTAGCTTTTCAGCTGAAAGCAAACAGAAAGAGATCTCTGAGTGTCCTCTTTTTTTCCTCTCAACTAATGGTCTCCAAAAGTGCCTGGCCCCATTTGCGTTAATGAACAGGGCATGCCAAGGACTGTTCTCTGACGGTGAAGCCAACTGGCACGGCACTTATCACATCACTACAGCTGCACTCTTACCACCTAACCAGTGTGACTGTGCACACTACCTACCAGGACCAGTTCATTGCCCTTGCAGCCTCCTGACCCCTTCCTGGGCATTGCTGGGAGACTGTTAGGTGGTCTGGGCTAAACTCATACATGAATCATGCTAACAATTTGCTGATCTGGATGATCATTGTGTCCCAGTACTTGTGCCTGGTGGCTTATTGGCCCTGAACATATGTAGCCCCCAGGGCTATGAGGAGCTGGTCCATAGCCAGTTCATGCTAAACATTCAGTGTTTTCAATTAAGAAGTATTGCAAAACTTGTGGTACCCGCTGGTCTAGCACTACCACAGCCAAAATATAACAAGCCATTGGAAGGTCCTACTGTGCTTTAAAAAAAAAATAATCTAAAAACTCCTATGATTGCTCCAGGGTCTCAGTACATTTGATTTCACCCTATAGTCTTCACCTCACTCAGAGGCCAAAAATCCCAGGCAAACACCATCCTCGGCACTACTCCCTGTGTTTTTCAGATCAGCTCTAGCTGGACACAGCACAGGCTTGGAGCATGACTTGCATGGCATCCTTCTGAAGGAAGAGAAGCAATGTTGATCTAGCTTATGTTGTATCCCCCCCTGCAAGGGAAAAAAGCCAAACTCCAGAAGCTTTCTCTCCTGCCTGCAGGCCAGCTGTCTCTGGTCAGTAAGGCTCACCAACCTCCACCAGCTGCCACAGCAGCTCTGTGCCCGTCTTCCAGTGGTGGCCTGTAGCAGGTGCTTATAAAAAGTTAAAAGAAAACCCCCTTGTTCCTGTGGTAGGCACCCATCTGAGGACTTGTCGAGCTGCAAGTGACATCTGAATCCCTGTACTTAAGAGCAGCTGATGTTCTGAACCCCTCATTTACACTCTTCCACAACATCCTGTGGCATTTGAATTTTCTCTGGCGTGTAGAAACACGCTGGCTCATCTTGCCAGCTAATAGCTCTACTGAGGCAATCAAAACCTTGTGTGATTAGAAGTTATCACTAATATCCATCCACAATCTTTTCCATACCACTCAGTTTCACAGACCTCTTATTTCCTTCCCCTTCTTGTCTCCTTTCCATCTGATGAGTCCTAATCTACTTATGTCTATACTAAGAGTAAGGTGGGCTAAGGTGTGTAAACTTCTCTGCCAAATCCTGTGTGCATCAGATGCTTCCTCTGGCTTCCCCAATGCCTCTGTGGCTTTATCTTGCCTAACAGGAGGGCTGTGTTCACTTTCGTGACTACTGCAGTGCAGCTCTAATCCTACATTGGGATTCCTGGTCAGCAGACAGAGTCCAAAGGACACTGAGAGAATGCCTGACATCTGAGAACAGACCTAAGATCCCCTAGGAGCCAAGATCTACCACTGCTGAATTTGCAGTGAACAGCAGCTTATGGTCTTCTGATGAAGGATGAAGCGTGCCATATTGTACTGTACCTGAAGAGGTAATGGGTAGGATGGATATGTAGAAATAGTCGCTGCAGAAGGACAGAACCCAGCATATGTCAGGATCTGCTGAGCAGGATTGTACAGGATCTGAGGAGGAGGTGCAGCACTGAAAGCAATTTGGGATAGAGGTACCTGTAGAGCACAGAAGACAACAATATATCAGCACAGCGCAGAGAGGGCTGGAGCAGGAACTGATCCTAACACAAGCAACTAGGAGATTTTAACAACTTTCTGTTTTCCAACACAATACCGATACTACAAAAGAACAAGGAGCAGACACAATGAGAGGAGGGTGTATCTGGAGTGAATGTTCTGACCAGAAATACACAGTTATTTTAAACTTCTTCTCTTGGAAACAAACTGCTGGTGCTTCCCTAGCACCAGTTACAGAAGCACTGGCAGGACTCCAGACCTGAGACACCCTGAAGAGCACAACATACAGCTTTGACCACCTCTTCTCACTCACTCCAGCACCAAACACCCAGTCTTTCACAATTTGCTGCAGACTCTTATCAGAAGAAACTACCTGATGCCCTCATGTCTTTTCTCTCTGCTTTCCTACACAGATTTCCCTTTCCAGAACACTTGCTCTTCTTTCACAGGTCCCTCTCTTGTGAAATGGGGTTTGATGATGACTGTCCAATGCCACCCCCCATCTTCATATCTCATTCCTACTGCATAAAATCCTTCATCACGTCCTGTGGCTTTATTGGCATATCCCTTAACTGCAGTGTGAGATGAGGTTTGCAGGAAGAAGTAATAGTTCATATTAAACCAGCTAATACAGCTGGAGGAGGAAAATATGAGCAAAAGCTAAATGTGAAATGGGGGGGTTGTGTTAAACCCTAAAACCCTGTGCTATATAGCCATTTGTGAAGGACAGTAGAGCTCTCTGAAAGATTTTTATGCCCCTCTGAGAGAGACAAATCTGGTGGTTTCTTTTCTCTCCTTTGTTTTTATTAGCAGATTTCTCCACATGAGAGCATGGAATTTTCTGTTTACTGCAATAATAGAATATGGTGGTTGCCAGACAAATGCTGAAAGCAGCAGCCAGGATTTTTTTATGGCATTTCCTTTCAGATTTATCAGTGAGAGATATAAACCACTGCATCCTCTGGAGACAGTATGAGATCTCTCTGTGATTGAGAAAGAGGTATATTTAGTTGTGTTTGTATAGAGCAAACATCGCCTAGGCCGCTGACATACCACACGAGGTTACCTGACAATCTAGACCTGAACTCTCTGGAGAAAATTAGCACCTCAGGAGCTGGCCCAGAGAAAGGCTGGGCCCAAAAACAGAGAGCCTGTTTCATGGGAGAAGGTATAAAGTATTTCACCTTCAAGGTACCCTCCTCAAAACGTCTCCTTTCTACCTGTCCTGCCAGGTGAATACGGTGGGGAGAGACACTGCCTTTCAGACAGGAGTAGTGAGAAGCAGATTAATGAGCTTCCCTCAGACCCAAAGGTTTGGGGCCAGCAACAGGTCCCACCCTAGCTGGGGCTGGGCCTGCACCCAGAGACTGCCTTTCCTCAAAGGAAAGAGGCCCTGCTGAGATCAGATCCTTCTGGCTGTTGACATAAACATGGCAAGGAACACTTGTTTTGCCAGCTTTCTGTTGTGGATCTCTTTGGGTGCTATTGTCCTTCTTCAGGAACTTCTCTAAGCCCTCTGGCCTTCTCTCCATCTGCAGCAGCAACACCCTCCAATTGCTAAGAATGAACACAACAATCCTAGAAGACAGTTTTGGGGAGTCATCCACCTCAAATCCACTGATCAAAGCACCTTATTATTAGGCTATCTGTCCTCAGTCCAGAGCCAGCAACAATTCACAGTTGGTTAGATGCTTTTATCAAGGGTTCCAGTAATGACATTATATGAAATTAGTCCCATAAAACACAAGGGTGGATTGAAACACCACCCAAGTCAAAGAGATAAGGAGTTGTGAACTGGCCAGGGAATGCTGCCAATGCCACAGGGGCACCTCAGGCCCGGGAGCGTGGGGAGACCAGGCGGTGGCTGGAGGGACTGCCTGGCCGGGTACTGGGCTGTGCTGCCGCAGAGCAAGGCAGGTCTGCTCGCTGATCCCACGCCAATCTGCCAAGGCATTTATTTCAGAGCTACGACTGCTTCTAATGTCAGACTGCACCTTTGGTTGCAAGGGTGCTAGGACACAAATGCATGGCAAGTAGCTCCATAATCAGAAGTTCGTTTTGTTCTCCTTTTTAGAGCAGGGTGAGGGAAGAGGAGAGGGGATAAGAGAACAATGTTTTATCTGTTCAGATTCCTTTGAGGATTCCAAGAAGGAGACTAACTGGAAATTAAAAAAAACCCCAACAACACACCCCCCCCCCGCCTCCCACCACCCAGACAGTCAGTAGTCCTGATTAATGCAACCCTAAACTCAGGGCAGGCAGATTCCTTGCCAAGGTGTGTCAGGAAAACATCTACAAGTCATCAGATAAATACCGTGGCAGGGTAGGGAGTTTCTAGATTAACTCTTAGCAACAGCAAGTGAAGTTTTCCATGAATTTCTTGACCTCTTTCTTCTGTAAGAAATAATCATGGTGTTTTACCATTTTGGATACTCCAGTTGCATACTTCTATTTATGTTATATTTTCATCTGCTTTTTGTTAAAGGTTACTCTAAGTTAACTGCGTAGCCAGTGTCTTATATCCAAGCACACTATAAATCTGAAAAGCAGGGTACTGTTGTAACCACTGCAGATCCTCCAGCATCCAGCAGATCACAGAGGATCGTCTCACAGGTGACACAGAGGCCACTGAGAGCTGACACCCTGGGAGAGGTGAGGATGAAATGGTTCATCATCAGGACAGAATAGGATGAAACGTTTCCCATTGATCCAGCACAGCCCTCTGGCAGGCAGCAAAACCTCAGGGAGCGTGCCAGGATCTGCAGGGAATTTGTCACAAGAAAGAAAACCCGCAACAACCAAAACAACACTTTTTTTTTCCTCTGTCCAAGAAATGTGATTCGTTTAGAAGCAACAGCTCTGTTTTGCAAACTCTCCCCTTTGTAACATGTTTAGGCTGCCAGCATTCCCCAGAGACAAACAGGATGGGGTTTTTTCGACTACTCAGCTTGGCCTTATGTGTTCTGGAAGTCAACCTCGGAGCAATACCCTGAGGTGCTTCAGCTGGCTTTGCAGCTCTCCATTCAAAATGTCAGTGAGCATTTCGGTGGGAAGGTGAAGTCCCGAAAGAAACAAAGTTGTTCTCCCACACATTTTGAAGTTTTTTTTTTCTCATTTCAGTTCCATGCCCCCTTCTCTCCCTCATCTGCTTGATGCTTTCTCGGCCTTCGTCTTCCCTCAAGAGCTACTCCTTTTATATTGAAAGCAAGCAACAGATTAGCAAACTGGCTCTGGAACATCACTCAAAATAGCTCTGAAAAAGCATAGGCAGGAGCAAGGAGTGGTTATTGCATTTTTGATCGCTGCTTTAGGAACCCTTTCAGAAGCATGGCATGGCTCCTGTAGTCAGGTAACTGACTTTCCCTTAAGCTAGTGAGGGTTGGTTTTGTTTTTTTTCCTTCTGCAGAGGAGACGTTAAACAGTTTATTCAGATCGGGTGAGGCCCAACAGGCTCACTCCAGCCAAGCCTGGGTGAAGCTGCACATCCACTGCTGCTGCAAATTCCTTGCACAGCTTTATGCCGCCCAGTCAGAGGACCCAGACCTTGGCCCAGGCTCTGCCTCCCAGTAAGAGAACATGTCAGGTCATGGAGACTCCAGTTGTCCCAGGAGCATCTCCTTGGCTTGGCATCCCTCACAATCAGTGCAGCGATAGCCCCTACACAGCCAAGAGGTGTGCCTGGGCTGGAGCTTTCCCTGCTACAAAGCATCAGCCCAAATCCCGTACAAGCCTCAGTTTGTGCAGGACAGTTTAGGTGGACTCAGGCTGGCGCTCTGCATCCTCTCCCACCTCAGGGGAGTGCTAGCAACTCCCACAGCTGCCCTTGGTGGGCACCCATCTGCTAGACAGAGGAAAATACTTAGCAGCACTGGAAAGCTGCAGTGCTCTACCAAGGACTTACTGTTGATGACTCTGCCGTCCCCTCCACACGTAACTGCTTTTTCCCTACTGGTTGTTTCCCACTGGTTGTTTCTGCTCCCCTTCTGCCATTGCTCCTCTTCCCAAGGCGGGGATGAATTATGCTGGGAATGCTGCTTCCACTCCTTCCCATTGGGCAGACACAACCCTTTACTGGCTGACTGCAAGCTGTTATAAACTCCTTGCAAGGGTCCCCTCGCATAATGCACAGCTCAGCTGCACATTTCTTACATGCAAAGGCTCAGCGTGCTCATTTACCTTAAGCTAGAGAGAGGAATACTTCCATCAACCACTTTGCATCTCATAACAAAGGTGAACTTCAAATAATTTGAATGGCCCTTCCCTGTCACATGGTTTTAAGCACTGCTGGGTGGCCAGAGCAGGGCCTGTTACAGCTTCCAGAGTGACTGTGCCCTTGACTCACTGGCTGCCAGCTCTGAGCAGCCCCTTTCCTCTACTGTGCCCTCCTGGTGTACATCTCACCCATCTCTCTTGCTTTCCCTTCCTTGCTCCATCCCTCTCTTCTTTTCTTTCATCTGTATTTATATTTAGTTTTCTCCTCTGGTATAGTCACCAGAAACATCATGGATCTAAGATGACCTGTGCCTCAATTACACTTCTCTTTGGCTCCTACCCCTACCCTATCTTTCACCTCCATCCCCATGCCTCTGCGCATTTAGTCTGGAAGCTCTTTGGGCTGGGACCATCTTCTCTTCTGAGTGGCTAGTAAATCATGAGCTGCTTGGATGGTCTTTAGACATTGCTTTAGCAAAAATGATCACTGGCAGTGATAATCCCAGGAACAGCTACTTCACCTTTTTAACATGTCAGAAAATCTAGGCAGAGGAGGCACTCTGTCACAGAATCTCTCCTAGCACAGAGCCTCTTCTGAATGCACTGGTGCATATCGGCACAACATGGTGGTGTGGCAACCTTGACTGGTGCTTCAGAGTTAATTCCCATTCTCAGGAAAAGAACTACATAAAGTTAAATAGTCACACCTATGACTTGAGCTACAAACCAGCATCCTCGAACTCTGTGCTTGCTTACACGTTCAGTGCTGAATTAGAAGAAATAAAAGATCCCACTAAGTGAATTGTCAGCATCTGTTCACACAGATGCTTGTTTTTCCCCTTTCCGTTCATGTATTTAACCATGCTTGACCTACTTATCTGTGAGCAGCTGGCAACAGCTTAGCCTAAAGATATGACTCTAGACTCCCAGATCACACAGGCTTCCTTGATTTTAACTTGATAACACCAACAAGCACAGAAGTCCCCAAAGAAGGCAAAAGACTGAGCCTTACCATGTCTTTAAATGCCCCCAGAATGGCTGCTGTAATAATTCCCAGAAACAGCCCGATGATGTTGAGGACTGTGGAGGACCACAGCAGCCTATACAGGTGAACCACATCCTGGCAGCCACTCACTCCGAGAAACTCATAGTAGCTGGAGGACTGCTCTGAACTGAAAGGGAATGCAGACAACATCACAGCAGTGAGAATGGTTTCGCACATAACACAGAGCACCAGAGGATCTGAATCCCTCCTGCTCACTTCCGTCTTTGGCAAAGCACTTCGTCCATGCTCCCACCAAACACTGCTCAGACAAATTGGTGAATACTGTAGACAAAATTTTGCTCTGCTAATGCTGGCATTAAACACACAGTCCAACTTATGTCAACCCTCCTTTGGCTGATTGGTGTTGTGCACCAGCAGGGACTTCATTTTTTGGCTCTGGGTCCCTGAAGACAGGCATAGACCTGGCACATGGATGCAGCCCTTGTCATTTAGCTAGCAGGTAACGCATGTTTAGCATTGCTAGCATTGCTTTTTTTTTTTTTTCTTTCCCCACAGCTTACCTGGAAATCTGCTGGCATCTCTGAAACTGGGGAAGGCAGGTTGCTTGAGCGTTAATTCAACCACAGGAAGGGAGATTTTGCCAGATGGTTACATTTGTTTATGGTATGTTTGGTTCCAAATTAACAGATGCAAAACAGTACAGTATAAAGATGTACCTTTACACTATGGATTGTACTATCCAGAAATATTTGCTTGTATTTCCACACTGCACCAGCTATTGTAAATCAGGCATGTTGTGAAGTTAGTTCTCATTGTCTTGCTGAAAGCTGGAAATATCCTACCACAAAATTTGAAAGCACAGTGTCCTGCAGTTCCTTCCAAGTCTGCCTTAATGCTAATGCTAATGAGATCCTAGAGCAACTATTTGAATTAGAAAGATATTTTAAATATTAAGTCTGGTTTTACACTGTTGGGAAATAGCCATCAGATTATGGTGGAAATGAGAAGTGAGCAGTTTGTGTTCACTCTTCTGTTCCTCCATTCCCAGTACATGGAGCAGCAGTTGAGATGGTGGTTAGGGTCTGCAGAGGAAGGTAGGAGCATGGAGAAACTCAGAACATTTCTGGCTAGAACAAAGACAAGCACAGTAATTCCTGGAAATATCCAATTATTTGTTGTGGGCCATGGTCTGGCACTGCTAATCCGCTACTGCTGAATTCACTTGGGCCCTACCATGAGCCTCCATGTTGCTTAACTAAATAAACCTATAGCTTTAGCCTTCAGGAGGCTGAGGAAATCTGACTTGTGATCCTGCCTTCATACCAGTCTATTACATGGCTGACACCAATTCAGTTGGTGTGACTGTGTCTTCTCCTACCTCTCTCTAGCCATCCTATGAACTGGAATTGCCAAGTTTGTAGAGCAGCAAGACTGCTTCTTTACTCTGGATTTGTCCATACCAGTGTCATAGGATCTTGCTCTCCACTGTGGATTGCTGTCAATGGCAGAACACACAGAATTATATCCTTGAACACCATCACAGAAGTGATTAGACTGAGGTGTTTCAATGTCTAAGAAAAATGCCACTAAGGATGCCCATCTGAAAGGAGAGTATTCCTGATCTCTCTCCATTGTTATCTGATGCTTTAAGCAACAGTTTCAGTCACTTTATTTGATAACGCTAAATGCTTTCACCCCTTTAAGATCCCTGTTCTTTTCTGTATTGGGTTGGGTCAATGTGCAGCAGCTAGTTGTGTACCACGTAAGACAGCATTCTCAGTGTAAACAAACTGCACTGCAGCTATGATGTTCCATCATTAGTCTATTGTCGAAAAGGTAGCGAAGTTGTGCATACTCTACATTTCCCATTTCATTTGTTTTGTATACCTCCATCATGTCCAGATTCTTACACATTTCTTACACAAGCGAAAGACTCTAATATTCATAGGGGATTTTAATCCCTGATGTTGCTTCTCCAGGCCTAAGGGCACTCCTCCCCACCCCCATCACTTAAGAGGAGGGACAAACAACCAAGGATTTCTGGGAGGCCATTTCTGGGAGGCACATAGGTACTCACTTCTCACAGTTGTACAGGTCACAGCAATAGCAAGTGTTACTCTTCACTTTCAGCTGGCACTTGCTGTTTAACGTATAACATGTCACCTGCCAAAAAATAAAAAAACTTTCATTCTCAGTGTTTCAGTGTGTGAATCATCCTACTGACCACAAAGAAGCAGTGACCAGAGTGTCAAGTTTTAATACCTGTTGTGCAGAAAGATCCTGAGATTCCAAAATACACAACTACAGGGCAGAAGGGCATCCCTGAGCTCCCAGGAATTTCATTTGAGACATCAGTCTCTGAGTCTCGTGGCATTTGCACTATGGAGTCCAGACCCAACAGAACTGACCTGTAGCCAGGGTTGCCACGGTTTTCAAGCACTTTGCTGTGTATGTGAGATGTGGGGACCACAGGTCTTGAGAGATACACCACAGCAAGCAAGCACTGAAGTGGATAAGGGTACCACTCCACTATAGCAGGGAAATCAGCAAAGAAGCCTATTTAGTTGAACAGCTTCCAATACATGAGAGCTCTCTCCTTTCAAGAACATCCTCCTGAAGGAAGAAATAACCAGGAACAACAAGAAAAACAGTCTCCAAACTCACAAGCAAAACCACTCAGAAAAGATCCAACCATTTCAGCAAGCTCTTGAATAGGAAACTGAAGAGGTTTATTTATGTCTATCTGAAGGACTCTATCTAGTCGAGTCCCTCAAGGGTCGATACCAGGACCAGTACTATTCAATATATTAATGAACAACCTGGATGAGCAAATAGAGAGCACTGTCATCGAGTCTGCTGATGACACAAAATAGGGAGGAGTGGCTGACAGACCAGAAGGCTGTGCTGCCACTCAGCAAGACCTAGACAGACTGGAGAGATGGGAGGGGAGAAATTTTGTGAAATACAACAAGGACAAGTGTAGGGTCTTGCATCTGGGAAAGAACAGCCCCGTGTACCAGTATAGGTTGGGGACTGACCTGCTGGAGAGCAGCGTAGGGGAAAGGGACCTTGGGGTCCTGGTAGACAGCAGGATGACCATGAGCCAGCACTGTGCCCTCGTGGCCAAGAAGGCCAATGGCATCCTGGGCTGTATTAGAAGGGGAGTAACTAGTAAGTTGAGAGAGGTTCTCCTGTCCCTTTGCTTTGCCCTGGTGAGGCCACATCTGGAATATTGTGACCAGATCTGGGCCCCTCAGCTCAAGAGAGACAGGGAACTGCTGGAGAGGCTGCAGGATCTGGGTCCCTTTAGTTTGGAGAAGAGGAGGCTGAGGGGTGACCTCATAAATGTTTATAAAAATGTCAAGGGGGAGTGTCAGGAGGATGGAGCCAGGCTCTTTGCAGTGATGTCCAATGATAGGATAAGGGGCAGTGGGTACAAGCTGGAACATAGGAGGTTCTGCAAAAACATTAGAAAAAACTTTTTCAGTGTGAGGGTGACAGAGCCCTGGCACAGGCTGCCCAGGGAGGTTGTGGAGTCTCCTTCTCTGGAGACATTCAAAACCCACCTGGACACATTCCTGTGTGACCTACTCTAGGTGATCTAGGACTAGATGATCTTTTGAGGTCTCTTCCAACTCCTAACATTCTATGTGATTCTGTGATTCTGTGTAAGCAGGAATTGCAGGGATGACAAGATGTTAGAAGAATAAACACACAGACACACAGAAGGTGAACATAAGGTACTCTCCATTCAGATAAGTCTTAAGTGTGGTAAGTATTAATCACTTCTACCAGGTTTAAAAGCTAGCAGGTCAGAAAAATACATTTTTTCTATAGTTTTTATTGTGGTAGACAAAAATTTACTGTAACCGCTGAGAAGTATTTTGTTCACAAAATGCAAATCAAATATATTATTAAATGGAAAATTCCTCATAATGAAAAAATAGAAGGGGCATACTTAGAAATACATGTCTGCTTTTGAAAAGCTTCTGTCAGACTGTTCTGTTTAGCCATTAATGTGTTAGTCTGTGGGATAGTTTCAGCTCCTAAGTGCATACTTTTTAGTGAAAACGGCCACTGTTGATGAGTCTTTACTCCTCACGTGGCTGTTCACAGTAAAAAAGGAAAGCCTTAAACACACACGCTTAGCACGAGAGGAAGTTCATCTTGCATTTGATCTCTGACTTGCCACACTTGTCCTTAGCAGGATTTGCTTCAGCTGGAAGTTGAGTTACAAAGCTAAAGTTAAAAGGAAGTTAAAATGATGCCTTGGGATTGCTTTGCTTGGCTGTGGCTAGTGTATCATACAAACCAGCTCTTCTAACCCAAAATGAAAGTTAGTTTATAAAAAGACGGTGCCAGTTTAGGTTGCAATCTGGAAATGGAGCTCATAGCTTGATATAGACACATACCTCTTGTCAGAAGAATACCTCACCCTGAGATAGGACCTCATTTCACCAGCCTTGTTCTGTTACGTCTGAACTTACTGGAATTTCACATAAGGGCTTTGTTGGCCTGAAGTCACATTCAGCTGCAGCCATCCTCAGCCTGAGCTGCAATTTAGTGCAGAAGAGGACTGTGCTACCATCAACAGCTGCGCTGGTTTAATCAAGAACCATCTCAGAAGTGATTGAGACACTTCTCAAAGCAGTCTGAAAACCAATCCCGGAGCAAAGTGTTTCAACGCATCCACTACCTAAGCCATTCTGCTGGGACACCCTAGTGCTTTTGCACTGAGTAGAACCTAAGGCTTTGGTTTTGACCCTCTTTATGTAGTCAAAACCGCCTATGACCTGCACAGTTAAAATACCCTTTTCTTGTTACACATGCACAATTGGGATCAGAGGGCTGCTAAAAAGATAGTTTGTTCTGATGCATGGCTTTGGGGACCACTTTGGATAGGAAATAAAAGCAATTCGCCACTCTCCAAGCAGCAGCAAGGGTAATTGGCCCCTTTTTACTGTAGAAGACAAGAATTACAAAAGAGGGAGATCGGTAAGCCATTAAATATGGATTTAGGTGCTTCTAGGCTACAGGACATACTATGTTATTGGCCAAGGAAGTTACTATAGTTGTATATTTTTATCACCACATTTTTAAAATATGCAAAGAGCAAGTCACTCCTTTTTAGGAGAACAGTGAGTAAACCAAAATAAACAAATTACTGTCTGGTGTGAGCAACAGTGATTGAAACAGGTCATTTGTGGGTATTCTGCATGTCAAGGCCTATTATTTCATTTCAGTGACCAGACATTAAGCTTTTTCATGTTCAGGCTGTTTGTACCTGTCTAGATGAGATGTTCTCACCTACAGTAATTGCAAGAAAATGAAATTATTTCTGCTTTGAGCAAAGAGAAGAATCAAAAGAGGCAAACTATGTGAGCTGGAGACCACTCACAGGCTAGAGATGGCAATCAAAAGGAAAATTGCACTCAGTAAACAATCTGCCTTCCTAGTTAGGTGCTTGCCTGGCATGCAGGGCATGTCTGCTGCTCACTAGCTGGCTAGCTCTGGAAAAGCAAAAGCCAAGCTCAGATCCCACGGATCATGAGCTCTGAATTAGCACATGCTGACTTTAGATCAATGGACAAGAACGTTATTACAACTAACCACAATTTTAAGAGATATAAGGGTTTTGCCAGAACACAGCAAGGAGTTCTTGGTGGCCCAACTTTAGATATTCCCAGAATCTGTAAAGCTGGGTAAACCTGTCTGGCCAGAAGCCCAAGACTGGAGTCACCCACAGGAAATTGTGACCAGTGTGATGCTAGCTAGCTACATGCTTATTACAGGAATCAGAGCACTTCCCAGGCCATGTCTATGTCAGAGTGTGGATGCACATTGGGGAAGAGGATGGAGTAAAACTTATAGGAAAGGCTGTTGTCATAGATCATACATTTATCTAGGTAGGTTTTTAGGCAGGGAGGTCAGTGAAATACTTTCTGGAATCATCAACAGGGTGCCCTAGTAGCAAAATTTAAGATTTTAATATCATTTGCTAAGCTGTCTAGAATTATTAACAGTAACATTCCCCATACACTTCTTCTTAGCCATAGGAGGAATGGTGATGAAGGGCGTTTGGCTTCTTGTAAATTACACCACTGTGTAGCTGTCCTTACTCTTCCTCTGTTTGATTCTCTTTTCAATTCCACAGATTTATCACAATAATAAAATGAAAAATAGGAAAAGAAACTAAATCTGGACTTCTCAGGAGGCTAGACATTTGGGTATGGGCACTTTCCCAACCATGTTAATGTCACTGACATAATAAAAAGCTGCATTCGAACTGCTGACACTCTCGGCCTGCGCTGGGTAAATACAGAGATTTGCAGTCTTCTGGACAATGCAAATTGTTTCATTTAGATATTTTCTATTCCACTTGAAGTCTACAAAAACCTTATTTGAGAGAGATGCCAGTGTGACAAATACGTTCCAGACAGCTATTATACAGCATAGATGGACAAGGAATCATTCCAATCCCAAAGTAATGTACTGGACAGAAACACTGACGATGACTCAAAACCTCACTGGTTGTAATGACATCACCAGAGGCTTGGACAGAGGCTTGGAGAGTCACTTGTGGGAGGAAAAACCAGCTGGGTTTCTATCAACCTCTGACCTATCTGTACTGACATGCTCTCAAACACCTGCCTCCCTCTTCCCCGGTCCCTCAAAGCACAGCAGACACAAACACGTGATGAGACGAGTAGGTTTACCTCTGTCTGGTAGGCATCATACAGGAATCCTATTCCACTTGAATAAAACTGGCACCTTTTGTTATACAAGGGTCTGGGTTCCTGTAAAGAGAAAGACAGTCAAAAAAGTACTCAGTCTGGAGGAAGCGTGAAGTCACCATGTCCCATACCCCCATGCCAGATGCTTACAGCTCTGTCGAGGAGGAGCCAATGCAGACACTTGGGTAAGTGGCTTGTTCACCCCCATGTTGGCTTTCTTTTCAGGGTGGCTCTCCTCAGGGTTACGTTTTCCTTGCTCCCTCTGCCACTAAGCTATTTGAGTATCACCTATTTTCCTCTGTACCAGTCACCTCTTTTAAGAAGACATCACCACTGGTACTTAACCATTTTCTTTCTTGATGCCAAATAGTACTGCTCTATGAGAATGGTCCAGTCACTCTTTTTCCTGGTAGAGTTTCTTACCTAGTACAAAGAACTACTTTGCAATTTGTCTTCAGGATATGGGATTTTCTCTTTAAAAGATTTCAGCAGTATCCATAGTAAAAACTGAGGGAAATAGTGAATATTTTAAGCATTCCACTTCATACACACACTTTGAATCCCCAAAGCAAAACAAAGAATAACGAAGAAATGAAGGCATAAAGGGGAAGTAATTTGCGCTGTTTGTTTTTTCCTTATTTCCCATTTATACTTATTGCAAAAGATGCATTCACTGCTCGTATTTCATATTTTGCTTGTAACAGTTCCCATAAGTTGATATAAAGGAAGAACACAATGAAATATCCTTGGCCAGATGGAAGATATGTGTCCCTGAACTTTGCGAATGGCCACTTCTAAGGCCAGACCTCAGCCACTTTCAGAACTAAACCATATTTGCCTAGGAAGAATTTGATGACTGGAGTCCTCTGTGATCAGATGTCTACCCGAAAGCAAAATGTGGGAGTGACTTATGTTGGCAAAAAAAACCCCAAAGTATTTTTTCAACTTTCTGTCACTTACCTAGTCCTGATCTGTGCTTTCAAAAGCACTCAAGTGCTCCCCAATATGTCAGTCAGATCGCTTCCAAGAGGCAAGAGGGAAATCCACTGTCTGCCATCCCCACTTTCCATGCTAACTTACAAGCAAGGGATTACTTAAGTTGTTAGCAGAAATCCATGCTGATTAACTTTCACTGCATTTTAAAGCTTTATGATCCATCCAGGAACAACCCAGAAATTGCAGAAAGATCTGTACTACTTAAGATCACTTCTGAGTATTCTATGCTTGTTGGGTAATGAAGTGTGAATTGTATAAATCTACTGATGCAAAATACATGATCAGTTAAATATGCAGACAGGACAATGAATAAAGCTCACCCATCAGCTTGTTTGCCTTTCTTATTACTCTGGCAAACACAAGGAAGTTTGGACACCAACTCCCAAGGGTTAGAGAAAGGTTAGCTTCCTGCCTCCAAAAATATTTATTTATATTACACAAGTGTAAGAAAAAATGCTTCAGTAACTCTTTTTCTCTAGAGGAAAAGCAAATACCACACAAACAGCATGCCATGTCTTGAACAAGGACAACATTCTTCCATAGGCCTGGGAAAGTACTAGGTTTTAGTCATGACTGCCAGGTACAGATCTAGTTGGTAGGACTAACAGGATTGTAGTTTATCTGCCAGCACAGCAAGTATAGTATCAGCCAAAGGCTGTGCTGCCCTTTTTTCACAGAGTATCATCCTCCAACTTTGATTTCATCTGTTGCAGGGGAATGAAATAAGAGGGAAGGGAAGTGACCAGCAAAAATCACTTTTTCTGCCATGAGGAGCAAACTTATGAAAAACAACTGTCCATCATATTTTCAAAGATAACAAATTTCAGATTGGTCCTGGAAGGGGGTGATGTTCAAGTGCATGGAGCCCAAGTGGTGTTCTCAGTCCTGCTGGTGAGGAGAAATGGCTTGAGGAGGGCTGGATGGACCCAGCAGATCAAGAACTGGCTGTGTATCTAGAGTCTTGGCTCACACAGCTCTCCTACCCTTTACACCTCCTTTGTCTAAAAAAAAATAATTGGTCTTTTTATTCGTTTGGCCTTTGAGGGAGAAGACAAACACGCTTTTCATCCAAGCGTGCTTGTGACTGGAAGTAGCACCATTCCCTGGGGAGAGAGGTGATTGATTAATCCATACCAGTTATTATCACTTCATATTGCTGTGCAGCAAGAAGGTCAGAGCTGTGACATGGAAGCGACCAGTGTGAATACAGGTAATACATTTGCATGTGCAATCATAGCAAACAAGTGCCTTCCTTCATGCACTTGATTTTGAAAAGCAAGCCCACTGCACCAGAGAAGGCAGCTTTCTGCATTCGGTCTGTTCTTCTAAATGCATTTGTATATGCAATCAGTCTGACAACCACAAATCAAAATAAATGAGTGATAACTGAGTGTATAAAAATAACAAAGATTAGGCAACACAGACATTATCCAGACACCCACAGAACTCGATACCTAAAACATGCAGCATTTAAGTAGATGTGCACCAGGGATGCTGAACGGTTGCATTGGTAAAAGCTTCCATTTGAATTAGATTTTCATGCCACAGAGGTGCTGCGGTCTGTTTGTCTACTAAGGCATTTATATGAATGAGGCACCACATGGACATTTAAAAGTGTTTAAAAATTACAGTATGTCACACTGCATTAGCACCCATTAGATTTTATGTGCCTCTCTAATAAAAAAGGCAAATGAGACACACTTCAAAGACAGAGAAGTATTCCTGACGGCCGGCTCATAAAATACTTTATATTTCCACATTGCTCACTGCAGACTGTGTATGTATATAGGATAACTACCAGTCCCTGATCCTACTTGATTCTACTGCTTATAGTAATACTGGTAGAGATAGAGCTACTATTGTGTAATATATATGAACATATATATATATATATATTTAATCTAGTAACAGTTTCTTTAAAGTATATAGCAATAATATTCTGTTTCATTAATTTGATGCCCTTTAATACCAGGAACTTCCTCAACCACTGTTATTATTGCTATGCAATATTCCCACTAATGTGTGCTATTAGTATGTTAATATACAATAAATAATGCCTTCCCCTTCTCTACTTCTTTGAGCAACTCCCTTTAACTGAAAATGGGTAAACAGGAAAGATCTGTTGCTTAGAGCTCTTCTGGTATATGCAGAAGATAAACCCCTACCATTCTGTTATTCAGCAGGCTGGCAAAAAGAGGAAGAATTCTGTATAAAAATGTAATTGAGTGCTTGGGTTTCTTTACTGATGTAAAGGAAAAATGGAGGGGGTTTATTCAACCCTTCCAAGCACTGAAAAAGATGACTTCTTAGCTAATTATGTATGAGTGTGTCTCTAATGGGCAGATACAGTCAGACTGTCACCAGTCTAAGTTTAGAAACTTTTCAGAGGTGTAAAAAAAATAAATAAATCCAGACACTCAGTAATTCCCTTCAATTTCAGGCAAATCAGAACCACTCAGCCTTGAACCCAGCCAAGCAAACTCTCGCTCTCCCTGTCCTTGAACACTTTTTGTTTCACTATTTTTCTTGCACGTGTATTATAATCTGAGAGTGATGAATGGACAACTAAGAGGAATGGCTTTACGCCAAGGAAGAGAATATCTGGTCCAAACATAGGGCATTTTGGTTTGGCTGATTGCATTCTCTTTGATGGTGGGAGCATTGCAATACACTATTTGTGTGAGGAAAGTATTCTTTGAATCTTTGGTGGATTCAGTACAATGTCTGTAGGGAGGAGGTTGTGTGGCTCTTAACCAAGGTGTGGGAAGCAGATTTTTCTATTCCAGTTTTTGTTTCCTTGGAGAACACACATATTTTGGATAACATAGGGAAAATTCCGTCTCCCTTATGTCTAAGTCCATTTTCTGAAAACTGAGATATAGCATGAACTATATTGATTGAAATTAATGCCATGCTTTACAGACACAAAACATGGCTAATAATTCATTGAAAAGATTATACAGTGAGGGCTATTTTTTTCCATCTACAGTATTTATTTAGTCTTAGCTTCCATGGCTGCATCAATAGAAGTGCAGTTTAATCAGTGCCAGGGAATGTTCCCAGGCCTGGAACTCGATCATCTAGCCCATTAGATTGTTAGAATGGTGCCTCTGATGGCTTTGGCCTAGGCAAACTATCACTCTTCCAAAATAACTTCTGGGTATAGTTTGGAAATTAGTATAGGCCAAGAACCTTTCCCAGCAAGTAATCTGGACGTTGCCATGATGCCTGTGACTCTAATAAGTATTAAGAGTAAGGACATGGGCTTCACCATGCCAGTTGGCCTGGGGACCACAGAACAGTCCTAGGCACATGTGAAAGACAAATATAGATAAAATTGAGGAGTCCAAAACCAAACTAGTGTTTTTAGTGGCTCATTAACTTGAAGTTTCTCATTTTCTGTTTTCTTCCTACAGCATTTTTGTAGGTCCTCTTCATCTACAGCACAGCCAGCAATGAATAGGAGAACGAGCTGCCAAGATTTGTCAACTTTAATCTGAAAAGCAAACCAAAACATTACCCTTCAGTGCCAGTTTAGCCTCATGCCAACAGCTGGGTGTTCTGCAGATTATCACTCCCTTTAAGAACAGGGTCTCTGCTAACTTTCTGAAAGCAGGCATGTAAATATGAACAGATGTTACCAGCAACTAGCTTTTATGCTTTTCTTGAGCGATAGGTGGAGCACAGGTGTCTGTGTGTGCCTCACACTGACTGAGAGCACATGGCACATGGAGCATACAGACCTGAGAAGTTTCAGACTGAAGGCAGAAGAATCTCACGAAAGAAGGTGCCAAATTGTTAGGAGTCTTGGAAAGCAGGCAGACTGGATCACTGGGGATCTGAGCTAAAATTAATTGGATCCCATCCTGTATAAATCATGAGAGGAAATGCTACAGGTCTGTTGTCATTCTGGTCTCTCCCCAACTAAGACCTGTTTCTCAGTCTTTTTTAAAAAATATTCTCAATGCAATGGGTGTCTCTTGAGGAAGACCATTGCTAGGAGATCCCAGGGACTCATAGGAGTGATCAATGCCAACATATTTGTGCTTTCACTCAAAAACAAAAAC